AAAAAACACACATCATTGTAAAATCAATACATTCATCACTTCGTTCAGAATCTTAAAAAGAAGAATACCTGTTGGCTATTATTTTTTATAGTAAAAATGTTGAGACGTGAGTCGCCGTTTGGCCACCCATACTATATGTTATCATATACCTACTTACAGTGAAATTAATAGTGAGTAGCTATATATTTAGGTACCTATACGTATATGTATATCATTATTCATTATCGACAGACTAGGAATGTGGAATTGAGATGTGTCAATATAGTTTATGGAATTTTGATGCCCGTGGTGGATAATGAAGAACTGAAGATGGCACTGGCCACAGTAAAATATACACCAAGTACCTGCAGCTGCAGGTGTCCTAGTATTGAGCCAATTGAGGTATGATTATTATACTTACAACCATTAATTATAGAATAGTCTATTCTATAATCAATGTGCTTAAAGCAATAACATACCTAATAATGATTCCTAATATGACATGTGTTATGCTAATATCATGGAAACCGAGACCTTTGGGACTTAAATGTATACCAAAGTATAAATACATAAGTACAACATTTATAGTATCTATATAGGCACGATTATAAAATGTAGGTTTATGTACTATTTGGTATAATGAGGATATAGGTACGAAATTATGATACTAAATATTAATTTTATTTTTCATAAATCAAAAACTGATTTTTTTTTGTTCTCTGAAATATAAAGTATTGAAATTGAATAATTTTGATGGTTTAAAAATTGTTATCGGGCAATGGGCATAGTATATAAGTAAGTACTAGGTATATAAATATAATAGGAAATAGAAAGGTACCTATTATATACATTTATAAATGATAACGCTATACCTATCATAAATCATGTTAAAACAATTTAATTTTACCTATATAGTTTGCAGAGATTGAGATTTTTAAAATCTTAAATGTTTATTGATATAGGTAGGTACATTTAATAATAGCAATCACATAATAACAATAATAACAATCATATATAATTCATTACTGACAAAGCTCTTTTATACATATTTTCAACTTGTAACTTTACCCATTGTTAGATATCTATCTATCTTTATATCATTGGTAGTCTGCATTATTATATTATATAATATATAATAATAGGGATAATGGCAACTGGCAACTGGCAATAGTAATTATTATTAGTATAGACGGTAATGTCGGTACTTGGTATCCTACAAATAACTACAAAAATGTTAATAGGGAATAGGGATTCTAAAAAGTTACAAAGATATAGCAATATAAAATACTTTTTAGCTTTTAAGTAAGTAACTTTCGTTAATTATATTATACCTAGGTTTACTTAGATATTCCATCTTTTCATTATCTCATATTTTGAAGGGAGCGTTGGGTAACACATTAGGTCATTAGATAATAGCTGGACCTCAAATAATTGCCTAGTATAAAACCAGGGCTACATACGATTTGATTCGCGGGTACCTGTTTATACCTGCACCGATACCGTTTAGTTGATTCTCGGGTCATCAAGAAGACGTAATATGTACGAGTTGATTTCTGGGTCATTATATATATTTTTTTCTTTGTTTAGTAAAAAATTTAACCTATTAGCATAACCCATGAAAAACCACGAGGAGATTGGCTGACAAGTTTCTCAAAAATTTAGTTTTTTTTAGTTTTTTCATATTTTGAAAATCATCGAATTTTTATTTATTATGTATTTATTTATTAAAAAAATTACTAAAAACATTAAGTGCGATGTCTAATGATTTTTTTTTTTCGTAAATTCACGCTGGTCTCGGTGAATATATAAGAGCGAGTTGTRTGTGACGGTCGGACTTTTTACGGCTGTAAACTCTTTACTCGTGCAATCTATTGATAATTGATATACAACAATAGGGAATCAACTCATACATACCTGCTACCTCTTAATGATCCGCGGGAATCAACTAATACATAAAATAGGTCTCGGGAATCAACTCACCTATCACGAAAACCAGGAAAGTGTAGTCATTATCGAGGATATTTGATTCTATAATACTAACCAGTCTAACCATTACTTAAGAAATTCTCAACTATATAAAATCCAACCTGATGTCCTGATTGCTAATCATATATAGTCCAACTCTTAAGGAGATCACCATATAAGACACTTGCTTACAAGTAAAAAAATAACTGAAAAAACTTGTGCAAGGAACTTAACTAAGTTTGAAACTAAACATAGTCTAAAGATATAGATATAACTGATATAAGTGATAATAACACAGAAGTACTAAATCGTATATATAATATTAATAACTAATATAATTCATATTGTCTATTTCTATATTATTATATTGGTACATATGTTACTTTTATGATGTAAACGTAAGATACCGATTTAAAAACTATTTATATGTTTTTGCTATGAAAATTATGGATTTTAATCTGAAATGTATAAGCAAATATATACAAACATTAATTAGAGTTATGGAATTACTCAATATATATATTAGCTCGATCCAGGATGTCAATTTTTATGTTGTATTTTTAATAGTTATATCAATTATATATTAAATACTATGCCTATCGGTGGCCATGAGTCCATAAAAGCAAAAAGCAAATAATTATTAATGTAATCTGTGATGTCACAGACTCATAGAACGTACATACAGTAAATAATACCTATATAATGATGACTTACGACATATGCAGGTATAATGTCACTATTTGCCATAAACGATTAGTTATAAGTTGTATCTTGTATTGTTCAATTAAATTAATATATTCACTATTTTATCATCATTGGTTAATTATTTTATATTTATTATATTTTTTCAGTTTTTAATCTTAATTTCCACAGTAATTAGGAAAAGCTGTAAATGAATAATTAACTTATAAGTTATTACTTATTACTAATATTAGTTATTAATTTATTATGTACATAGTAAGAACATAATATTATATATTTTCATGAGTCATGAGTGAGTGAGTAGCATCAGAATCATTTTTCATACAACTGCTTACCTGTTACCTATCACTCTTTTGTGCCTACGTTACACCATGTCGCATTAGTTTTTACTCTCATTTTAATTTCTGATCGTGTCAATATATATGACTTTGTATATGAATAAATGGCCAGGGTCGTTTTTAGGAAGAAGACATCATGTAAAAAAATTAATAAGAAAATTGGTTTGAAAACTTACTTCGGAAAATTTTGTGAATATACCAAAAAAAGGTCGAATATGTTTCTGATAAAAATTAAAAAGAGTGTTCAGCGATTTCGACAATCAAAAAGTGCGTTTTTATCAATACTTCGTACTCGTTAAATATTTAATTGTTTTTCGTTATTTTTAGACTCATTATTATTTAATTTCAAACTTCTTTTATTAATTTATAATAGATTTTTTCAAGTTTCAGTAGTTTCACGATTTATTTTTTTCGATTAAACGTAAAATCTGAATAATGTTATTGTTAGACACAACAAAGCGTCCATTTAAGTTTATACGAAATGTTTAGTATTCTAGAATATAATTACGAGTATATGACAGTTAAACGATTTCAAAACAATATCGGTTTCAATAGGTTCATCGTATATTCTACTTTACAATGCATAAAGTAAAAAAAAAAATTTTTTATCTTATATCGATTAATTTTTCAGTGTTAGGTTAATTATCTATAATTCCGGGTTGCATGAAAATCTAATGGTTCAATAAAATGTAATGGATCAATTATGCCAATCATGGACCATTAAACTATGTTTAACAAAGAAATCAAAAATTAGAATATGAATTTATCAGTTTGAAGCTAAGAAAGAAAACCCAAAGCTGTTAATTAAACTGCAGATCAGATATGATGATGGCCAGTTGAACTCTTGGCAGCCTTATTAGTATAAATAACATAGGCGCCAAACACATCAATTTTAGAGTTGGCAATCGAGGCCATTCGGCCGGATCAGTCAATCTTCGTCGACCTACTGTGGTAGAAGAAGGCAAGTGGCGAGGGCGACCATAACCTGGGTAAGTGATCAGACGGTCCATCACGATGCCGTTCGTGCCATTTACGCCCCGGAATCGAACTCAGTGGCGGTCGACTTCCATCGGCACCAGATGATCAATGAAGAAGTGGAAATGGTGGGTGTATATTAGAGTGCAGGAGCCACAGGGAAGTTAATAGATTTATAACATAAACTATGGTTTATAATAATTWATTTCTTTGAACTACAGTGATTACTGATTAATAAGTGGAAATAATTTTCATAAATAAAAAATCGGGTGGTGGTTGACTAAATTTTTCTAACAGCATGTGCTCTTAAAATACCTCTGTGCGCCACTCATAACACCTGTATACAATTAAGAATAAAGAATATAATGATTATAATGCATATTGTAAACAAATGTCAAGTATTTTATATTTAATGTCATAAGAACGTTACGATGAGAAACGCAACTTGTGCTTGTGCTATGCCATAAAAACGTAGGTGCATTTATCAGCGGATCCTCCGTTATGTCTTCCATCTGTCTGTGGACTTAATTTTCAGCAACCATGGTCTTGATGACTGACTGACTGAGTCGATGGTTGGTCGGGTTGTCGGGTAATACTTTGGTTGTCACATAAACAACGTGAAAACTTGCATTTAGTATCCTGATGGTATCCAACAAGTTAATCACTGATTATTTTTCTATCTCCTCGAAGCACTTCCAATTTTTTTGATAGTGCCGATGGTAGCAGCTGCGGTTCGGTTGCCAGGTTTGATTCGATCCTGATCGCCTACTCGTTTCATTGTCATCATCATTGACCTCCTAGCTGATAACTCGGCTGGTTGATCGCCAGCTCTACCATTGTTTTCAATGCGAATCTCATAGTATGAATCTGCTTTCATTGATTAACATGGTAGGTATCTAAAATATTGTTTATTATTAAATTAAAAAAAAAAAACTTTAAAAAAAAACTTGTTTCTGATTGCGTTTGAGTGTTTTCGTTCGAATTTATTAAGACCAAGTTTGTGAAAAAAATATTATTATTTTTATTATATGAATAGGGCTAGGAGAGGGCTTATAACTATTATATTCTCTACTTCACTAATAAATAGTAAATAGACAACTACAAATAAATAATACATGCGCTATCCAAAAACTGATTATGGTATTTATGGTATATGCATAAAACAATTACGATCTATTATATATAATATTATAAACTGTTTAATTTTAACCTGACCTATAACAAACATTTTATCAATTATTCAGTATTAATTAATATAGAAACTGGGTGATGAAAATGTAGGTATAAGTGTATTACAAATATTAACAATCTGCATTATAAGTATTATACATATATGTGTGTATAGAAACAATTGTTCTCGGATATATTATTTTGTTTACCTACACCTATATTTAAAAATCATTAGAATTCATAATTGCAACTTTGAACAGTTATAAAACATCCGGTTCCGAATGTCCACATTATTTTTCCCTACTATAAACTCGGCTTCTCACGACGGTTGGTTCGACTTGCAACTCCGCGTTCCGTGACTGTACTTTTGTAGTACTGTACCGACGTACCGAGGAAATGCGTCGTGGGAACCTATGTGAGAAGCGACGAGCCGTACATGTGTTATGTGCACCAAGCCTAGTAATTACCATGGTACGTCTATGATACCATGCTAACATGAATCGATGAGCCACGTGTCAGTAGATTTTTTGGATATTCTGCGATAATTTTGTTTAGCCCTTCAATCGTGGTTTAAAAATGTGTATGTAACCCTAAAATATAACATGACACTTCACGATAAGATACTGCGAGTTAGCTATTTAAATATGTATTTTAAATTAAATACTGTTAGTTTTTTCTAAAATGATCTAAATAGGGCAGCCATGATGTTTATTTCTCTTCAGGAGGCCGAACTTTTACACGACCTGCAACGTGTCAGTTATATTTATGTAACACCAAATAATATATACATTGTAGACTGCGAAGGATATCCCTACTGCAGTATTCAGGTTCCGGTCACGCATTCTTTCGCCGACCGCCGTTTCGTATAGTTCATGGGTATATATAAATATGTTTTTTACTTTATTTGGTTTGAACAATGTTATTGAACCTATATAAATATAAAATACAACATAGTGCAAACGAATGCCGGAGAATTATAATAGTTCCAATGTAATAGGTAGACATAAATTGTATTGTTTATTTGAAATCATGTAAAATACTATAAAGAGTACCTATATAAGCTGATTACAGAACGAAAAATCTGACGTAGTAACTTACTGATTACTGATTAGTACTTACCTATATAAATGGCAAATGATAATGTATAGTCACTGAGTAATGAATAGGAGACTATTATCTAAATCTATGTATATGAAATCGTTTTAGRGTAAGTTGTATGTTAACTTAGAAATAGTAAATATACCTACATCACAGAATACCTACCTAGTTTAAATTTAATTTATTMTGTCTCTGTGAACTGGCCACCAGGGGTGGATCTTTGATATTTTGATAGAGGGACAGTTTTATTTCAATTAATATAGTTAAAGGTTATAATTAAAAATAGGTATCGATGAGATACTAAATCTGTTAACCCTGTTTTATCAGTTTGAATGGTAATAATGATTATGATGATCAATAGTTGGAAGTATTATTCTTAAAAACTGAATTTTTCATTTATATGATACTCATAGTTCCATTGAAAAAATTGTCGATTTAAAATTGACATGGGRGCACGTGCCGCTCCCTTAAATCCGCCACTGTCCGAGGCAATACTACTAATTACTATACTTGTGTAACACTATAATATTATCATATATTATGGATTAAATATTAAATGTACATAATAAATTAATATGGATAGACAATAGTTTATATTGAGTTAACTGCATCTATGCCAGCGTWACTCGTTACTTGTAWTAGTCGTATTTCGTTATTATTAGTTTTAGTTATTACTGTATTATACCTAAATTAGTAAGTATATTATAATTCGTGTATTCGTGTTCTTTCTGGCCGTGCCGAYGATTATTGGGCTCGAGCGATGTGGCGACACTGGAGACTGGACCCACCGCGATTGCGCATCAGCTCCGTTCTCGATCCGAGCGGCGAATGAGTGCGGACTGTGACTGAAGACGAGCGGAGTCGATCCTCCTCGACTGCAACTGAGTGCAACTGACTACTGAGTAGTGAGTACTGAGTAGTACTGCAATTGACTGCAATCGAGTCATTAATCAAATTCCAACGGTCCTCGAGTTTCGTGTGTACGGGCGTACGGCGTGCGTACGTGCGTGCGTTCGTGTGTATGTTATTATTGTTTTCCCCTCCACCGGTGCCACGGGAACGAAAAAAAAAAATGGTGTTCGTGTGTCGTCGGATTACGCGCAACTAGAGGAGYCGTGGTCGCAAACGAAATGATTTTCCGCGTTCCTCCGCCGCCGGTAGTCGTTTTTGTTTGCTCGTCCGCGTAGATCCGTCGCTGTCTCGCGGTTCCGTGTTGTCGATTGTGTGATTGTGCGCCTTCGAGCTTTAACGCCCGACCCCCAACTGGTTGGCGGCTGGTGTGATGGTCGCCCTTTGTTGTCACCCGAACACGTCGTCGTAGGAGCAGCAGCTGCCCGCAGTCGCTGTCCGTGTTGCCGGCGCTCGACAGGTCGAAATGGCCGAGTACTATCAGGTAAGTTCATTCACCTGTGGCCCAACACCCCGCGCCGCGCCGACGATGCGCGTTTAAGCCGTGAATTCTGTCTCAAAACGCGGACGAATGTCGTCGCCGGCTTAGGATTTTTCGTATTTTCAGTCCAACCTAATGTTACTGAAACGGAATACCGTGCATAGGTATTATAGTTATTGTCCATTGGGCACCTACRCAGGCGTATCGATCGATACCTCTAAAGYGATGTKGTTCCGTGTGGCATACGCATAACTCKGTTCATTTGGGTAGTTAGGCTGTATAGGCATGCAACACGCTACATTTCGTTCCAAGGTCGTGCGGGGAGAAGCGGGTATTTTTGGGCTTGCGTCTTCCGCCCGCACCTGTTGGCGGCCACACGACGATGCACAAGCGCTCTAACAATTGCCGCGCACTCTGATCGTTCACCTAGTTTGTAAATAATAATAATATTGTAATATATATCATTATTTTTTACTGTTGTAGGCACCTGAATGTATATTCGTGTTTATTGTTGTCGTTGATGACGATAATGTCCACATTATCTTGGCTCACTCCGCTTTAGGTTCAGTCTCTTAATTGGATTCGATTTCGTGGTTTTCTGTCCYTATCTAACATACTCGTGACAGGCTTTTAGACTTGTTCTTTGCCATACCTACCGGTTTTGATTTAATAAAGCGATAAGAATTTTAAAGATTTAAAATTGTTCATTATACAGATTTGAATCTGTCGTCAAGACTAATTGAGTTCAATTTTTCCTACATTTTTATATGATCTCCAAAATTCCTAAAAACATTGTACTATAAAATAGTAATTAAAAAATTATCAAGTTTCAATTTTTGGAGGATTTAAAATGTTAAAGGCGGGTAAGWGGATCTCAAGTAGACCAAGTTMAAATCTGTTTTCAGARTAGTTATGGCTTCTCACCATATAAAACCCTATGTTTAGCTAAAAACAAATCTAAAATCCTATGYCATGCTTATGTTAGACAAAGACATAGAATCACGGTATTGAATCCCCTTAACATTAAATCGCTCCTACTTCCACTTTKGCACTATATCAGGTTAGCATAAAATGGTTGAGTCCAAGTATATTGTGTGGCTATAGGTACATTACTATTATGAGTGCCATTTAATCAGATACCTAGTTTAAAAATGTTCCTTGTAGCACTAAAGTACTAGTTATAGATCTCGTTATAGATATAGGTACCTACTTTGATCAGTACTATATATTTGATAATCAATAATGTAAATAAAGTTGTGGCTAGGATTATGTATAGGTAGATTAGGTTAGGCTTATAGTTGAGGTAACTAGCTGATATTTAAGTAATTTCCGAGGTAATTTCACTTTTTGACCCGTACATTTTAATTCATCTACTTACCTATTAACCTATTACATCTATTTTTATTTTTTGAAAACAAATTTAAACAGGCATTTTTAGGCGTTAGGTAGGTAGTTAGGTAGGTAGTTAAGAATAATTTTACCTAGGTACCTACCTATTTAATTTATAATATACTGGTAGATTCACTTATATTTCATTACAAATTTTTTAATAACCGTTAAGAACTTAGGTTTATAGTTAATTTAAACATTAAACACATTTGTTACTTATACAATTAACAATATCTAAACTATTGAATCTTTTTTCTTTGAAAAGTTATGTAATTCTTCCTTCAATATGTTTTCCATATGTACCTACCTATTTATAGAAGCATATATATTAAATTCTTATCAACACCTAAGTTAGTTTTCCCCTCATTGATTTAATAGACACTACTTGTAATCCATGTGGCCTCTATGTTTGRAGTGCATAATACATATGTCCTCACATTTGAATGTATAAGTTTTAAATAGTTAATACTCATTTTATTCTTATCAAAATTATCTTAGAGTATATAAATTTTGCCTTGGGGCTGTCAAAAACTAATATGCTTAATCTGAATGTTCTATTAATGAATTTGATGAATTGCTCAATTTCTGATATATTTCCAACTGTCGTAATTCTGGTAATAACATAGGTAACAATTGAGTACTACAGTTGTTAGTCTGTAATCTGAGAATAAAGAATATCAGAATTTTACGTTAAAATATTACTCCAGGTGTTCAGTGCTCTTTCAAGGTTATATTATGTTCATGAGGTTTGTAATCATACATTCTTACCTAATCAGCATACACTATAATTTTTGTTAATAATTTAAAAATATTCATTGTGGTCCTGGATACTTATTAATAAATCAATATTCCTTGGTACCTATAATACGCTATGATAGGAATAAAAGTATATTACGTTTATAAGACTATATTATATTGAATTTTTCATTCACAATTTAAAGCYGATGGAAAATAGTGCTGTTTACAATAGTTGAAGTACCTAATAATTATTTRTTACTTTTGATTGAAATTTGGTGTTCTTGAGTGACATAATACCTGTATTATTTTGGGATAATCATTAAAAGCTATATTTAATGGGTCAAGGTTCAACAGGATAACAGAGTACCTACAATAATGTATATTATATTCACTTTATGTTGGTAGTAGACACTAATAAAAGTTCAGATTTAAGAACATTCAAAATGAATACTTTATTCATTGAATTCATCTAAACCCATCTACTTATTTTGAGTTTACACAAGTACTTTACATAGTTGGGTATTAAATTGTATTAAAAAATTTAGACGGTATTCAGTATTAGGGAGAGGTAGATGTTAGGAAACACAAGAATTTTATTTATAGTCAAGCACTTTGAATATTTTGAATTTGATTTTAAAACCACRTGTAGAAATGTTTAGTATGTGTGATGGAGGAGTACTTGCATGATATTATCCTGAAGTAAATACTACTTAGTACCTAGGTAGTTAGAATAAACAATAGTAAAAAGTTTATTCTTTTGACTTTTAACTTACAATAGTGTAATGCCTTTATGCATTAAYAGAGGGTTCTCAATGTACTTAYTTAATTGTAAACAAATTGTTAGAGATGAAGAATTGTGGAGAATTTACATAAAAAAATATTGGTAAAATAAAAAGTTTTTAAAAATGATAATAAATAAAATTAACATTCTCCTTTATTTTTTGATGTTCAAAAGTTAAAACATTTAAAGTCGCCACACACTRTAGTGGTGGCTGTAAAATTGTGTCTGGCTTCACTTTGCCATAACTGCCACTTCTGCAGTGTGTGCAACTAAAAAAAATTAATAAAATACCTATACAGAAAATTATTTTACAGGTAAAAATTTACCTGGTAAATTTATAGCATTCGCGTTTCTACAAATTACTTCTGTCAAAAATCAATATAATGTATAGTTTTTTTATGAATAATAAACTTAAAATAAGTGTATTGATAAATTGCCCATGAATTGTATGTCAGCAGAATTAAGTGAAATTCATGTTAATAGCAATACATAATRCATTCAAGTTATCTATTCTTAAACAGATTTTAATTCAAACTAAAATTAATAGATAGGTAAATAGATACCTACCTAAAAATTAAATATATATTCTAATTAGAATTATTCAGGTGTATCTAAATTAAGCTGGCATAATAATAGAGTAGATAGGTTAGTAGATACATTTTATTAGTTGGTTAAATACGAGGTAAAGTATGACAAAATTGATCAACACAAAATAATAAGTCCCTACTATCTTTCAATCATTAGTGGTGAATAGGTAGTATTAATAATATCAACATATGTTGTGCATTAATAACTAAAGTCTAAAAATGAATATACCCAACAATTATTAACACATAGTATGAATTAGAAAATTTTAGGMAAATTTCAACAGTTAAAAATGTAATACTAATTAACTCTGACTAGGAACTGACTTTTATGAAATAGATTTCTATTACTTTTTATATAATTAAAATTTGAAGGTATATAGTTACATTAGGTATACCTATAATACCTATAACAATTGTATGTTTCTTATGTCAATTGATTTTTCATTGATTTGGTTAGTTAATTGACCTTAATTGATGAGAATTAGTAACTGGAGCTTCTATCTAAGCTAACTTCTTCACATATAAAATATATGTAAAAAGTAAAAAATAAACCAATTTTACTTATGACAAAATGGTTATAAATTTAGAGTTAAATGTAAATACTAAATATCTAAATACCTATTGTTTTTTCTTAAATTGTATTTACATGTTTTTAAATGTAAATTGTAATCAATATTTTGAGTTATGAAATGTTTTGATTTTAAGTATTAATTGGTATGATATTGATGATTTAAATAATTTTTGATTAATAATAATAATAATTTAATATGAAAAACAAAAATGATCTTCAGAAAGTTGATAGTTATATATTATTTTAAATTGTTATCTAAAAATAAAATGTTCAATGTCATTGGAAACATATGTAGGTAGCTACATGACCTTAATAATCTATAATATATATTTTTATTTTCAATTTGATAAAACATCACATATAAAAAATAATTAATATCCATTTCTCCAACGTTAGAGAAAATAAAGATTACATATTCATTAAGACTAATTTTACATAATTATCAAATTATATTTGAAATCATCTGGTAGTTTTTAATGTGTCAGTTTAATCATTTAGAATACCTAGTTATTTGATACTTAAACTGTGTAGACAATATTTCTGATAAAGTTTACATTTAATTAATATAATTTATCAATCAATGTATCATATTCTGCCAATGTTTTTTTTTTCTTTTTTTTATCCAAAACATACATAGTCTTACATAGAGTTTTTTAATATTTGTTTGAAATTAAATCAAAACTAATGTTTAATATGCAGTKTTAGCTTGGTACACCAAAGGTCTTTGAATCAGTTTTTTTAAAGGCCTACATAATAAAATATAAAGGTCCTAAGTTCCAAAAATTCTCAGRATGGCAATGGGYCCTGTAAAGAAAAGTTGAATCTAAAAATTACATATGGTTTGATATTTCCAGGGATATTTCCATAAATACTTAATGAGGTCCATACTCCTTATATAGACCAGGAACGCGCTAAGCAAATAAAAAAATTATGGGATCCTAATCCTAAACAATAACATAGCGCCCCAACCATGTTTGTAGTACAGTGGTCTTGGCCAGTCTGACACTGTTAATATGAATAATTGATCTAAGAATATATTTTGTTTAATGATTTAGAAAAAAGAAATCCTTTTCTAATATAATCATYAAACCACAAGTTTATATTTATTTTGATAAAAAAAAATTAWTTTGATGTCCTTTAATTGGAGCTAGTACCTTTAAATTTATTGATTAGAGGGTTAATGTTAAATCGACTATCAACAATTGYTTAGTAATGTCCCTAAATAGTCAATAATATTTTAAAATTTAACTACTAAGTTTATTTTGTATGCATAGAAATGTAACTTTTCTCTATTATAAACATATTATTTGCTAGCAAATTAAATTTTGAAAATCATGATATCTATTATAACTTTCTTACCTCTCTTTTAAATATTGTAAAACTAAATTAGGTATATTTATTTAAAATCATGTATTTCTAATTATAATAATTTATTCTAAAAATCAAAAATTTAATTTTGTAGRAAGTTAACGTGGTCAATAATTAAAAAAAWAAAATATTATTAAAGGAATTCCACCAGGARATTTTTCGTCTTTGCCTTACACATGYGACAGGATTTTAGACGTGTTCTTTGTCAAATCTACCAATTGATCGAATGAAGCGATAAGAATCCTATAAACTGATTGTCCATCTTTTTTTTCAACTATAAGTGAAATATTATTAAACAATTTTAAATATGAAATTATAACATATAMATYTTATTGTTTTAGGGTGAATATATATACAATCCTGTTTTATATGAATTGGGTTTTAAGTATGGTTTGGTAACAACAAACACTGATGGTACAGGACATGATTCGTCAGTCATCGATGCATTAACTCCTGCCCGATTAGATGAACTGAAGGAAACCATAAGGCGTGAGATTCGGCGAGAGCTTAAAATCAAAGAAGGGGCTGAAAAATTGCGAGAAGTTGTCACGGATCGAAAATCATTGTCAGATGTTACAGATATCGTGAAAAAATCTAACACTAAGCTTGCAGAATTACAGGCAGAACTGCAAGAACTTGAATCCCATATCATACTCAGCCATGGAGCAACTGGACAGCAATCATGTTCTAGTGCTTCTAATAATTCGTTTTCTTCTGGAGTTCATAAGACATCTGGATTAAATGGATCATCAGATCGACCTATTTCAAGTAATTAGAAATTTAAAATATATTAAATTACCTAATCATAAAAATGTCTTGTGAAATCATATGTTATAAAGCAAATTATACTTTAAGACTTATTATCATACTTAAATCCCTGGGTAAATCCCTAATATGACTGTGATTAAACACTGATGATATAATATTTAAATACCTATTAATTAAATGTGGCTGACGTATAGGTATGTATTGTTATTGTTTTTTTGTTGTTGCATAATTATGAAGTGTAATAAGGATAATTGATTACAACATGATGACACTGATTAGCTATTATTGTTTCAAGTGTGGTTTTTGCTTATTACTTAATCTTATAAGAATGATCAACTACAATACTTTTGTGGATCTAATATATCTAATATTTTTTGGTAAATTTAGTATATTTTATGTTAAGTACCTATTCTATATTTATATATTTTATATCGCTTGCAATTTTTTGCTAAAATAATTTTAAAAATAAAACCATGTAACACACATTTTACTGAAAAAATTGGGGTCGTTAAACCCCTTCCCCTATTTTTTTTTATTAAGACTTATGATGAATAACTTAATTAGCAAAA